GGAAAAGCCAGCAAGCCAGGCACACACGGTCACCAGCAGGCATATGGCCGGCCCAGGAACCGTCTTCTGTTGTCGGTCTGCGTCGCATGTGCGGCTAGAGCCTAGAGGTAGGAGAGGGGATAGACTGATCGATTGGGATCGGGGCTGGTTGGAAAAAATATAAAAATAAAAATAAAAATACAAGACTGCTTCAGGTCATTAAATGGATATAAGAATGGGGATAAGCGACCAGGGGTGTACGATACACAGCAAATGAGAGGAGGGGCCTTGGAGTGCAAGAGAGAGAAAAAATTATGTGTAAAAGGCGGAAAACTTGGCTGCGCATCACCCACTCAGACCATGTCACTCGTTCGTAAACTGTCGGTCTCGGAAGCAGAAAACTCTTGGTCAATTTTGTCAGGAAGCCGAGAAATGCAAGGTAGTTCGGCTCGAATGTCTAAGAAGGCAAAATGACATGGACATCCAATAATGCTGTTATCACGACAGCCCCTACCAATACAGAAAGGTACGGGAAGTTGAGAGTTTAGAGATTACCATCGTGCGTCGAGTCCCCTCTCCCTCTCCCTCTTCCGCGGGAGCTTTTTTTTTTTTGAGAAGTACCTAGACAATAAGCCCCGGAAGAGGTCCCAGAGTGTGAGAGCGAAAACAGAGAAGGAGAGGGGAAAGGAGGAGAGTCCACACATACCCCACCCCGGGGTGCGTAGCCGCCCGCCGCGAAGACTCGGGGAGCTACCCTGCAGAGAGAATTGGAGCTGGAACCGCTGAGCAAGGGGTGCTCGTAATAACGAAGAGAGAGAGGTACCTCTCCTGGAGTGAATGAGAGTGAGAGAGAAAGGGATGTGGCCCTGATGAGGGGACTTGGGGGTCGCCAAGGGGGGGGGGGGTGGTCGAAGGGGGTGTCGTACACGGTGGCTACCTCACGACCGGACCTTCCACGCTGTGGCTCCGGCCTTTCCTTGTCAGGGTACGTACTTTCTCTTCGCACTCATTCTCGACCCCTGCCCGAATCAAGTAGGCTGTCAGGTACGTACAGGTGCGCCACTGCCTGCTGTCGTTGTCGCCGCTGGGGGGGAAGACACACACTGACACCCTGACTTCAGTCTCCAGGCACACTGAGGTAAACCCAGGACCTACCTGCCTCACTGAGGTGAGGTACCTCTTTTTGCTGAAGTGCGTGAAGGTACCTCATCTCACTACAGAGAGGTCCGGTACCTCAACCCACGTACCTTTTGTGGCATCCCAGACAGCGACCACAAGGTGCCAAAGGTGCGCAATTCTCTTTCCCATGCCCCATGCTCATCTCTGGTCTACCCTATACCCAATTCTTTTCCCCCTCTCCAAACACTCCCATACACTCCTCCACCCCATTCAGCTTTCTGCACACTCCTTCCCTTTCCCTCCATCCATGCCGACCGGCCCAGGTCCCCTCGTTGAGATACTTTGCTTCGGCCCACCCCCTCTGCCCGCTGACCTCCCGAGCTTTCTACCTCCTCTCTGCCTCGATCCGCATCTCTCTCCTGGCTGGTATAATACTTCACTTGCGCCTCACCCTCCTGCGGCTTGATTAGCTGCACCACTACCTCTTACTCTCTCTTCACCAATTGTCCAGCCTCACCTCACATCAACTTTCCGGATCCTCTCCAAATACTACTTTATACAGGCCGACCATCCCAGGCACGACCACATCGTCAACAACCTCTCTACATTAATCACTAGTGGGACACAGTAGGGCCTCGTCGCCAAAAACAACACAGACTTGATACCTCTTTTATTCAATCAAAGATTACACAAAGGAACAAAATTCCACCTCGACTCAATCACAGCTCTTCAACCCGGATATATGTCCAATCTCTCCAAAATGCATGCCCGAGATGCTACCGGCCGCCAGGTCTCTCTCCTGAACGACGAGCCTATCGCCCAACCCGCCCACCAAAGAATGGACTTCCGCACAGTCAACCAGGTCATCTCACAACCCTTCCACCCGGCACCACGAAGCAACTCTTCCTCACCTCACACTCCCGAGCTCCTCCGCTCCGACTCTTACGACTCCAACGCGAGCAACGATCCTCTTTCGCCCATGACTCCTACCTCGTATGACCCTTCTAGAGTAGGCGCATTCCCTGGCCAACCCATGTACGACGACTACGACATGCCCGCAAAGCGCCCTGCGTACGCGAACAATAGCCGTGCAGCTTCGTATGAGGAGGACAGCTCAGCAACATCACCCTTGCCGGAACGCCCGGGCAAGAGATACCCTTGCCGCTACCGCGACAGCCACGGATGCGAGAAGACCTTCACCACTTCAGGTCATGCCTCTCGTCACTCCAAGATCCACACTGCCGAGAAGGCTGTTCAATGCACTTTCCACGGCTGCCAAAAGAAGTTCACCAGAGCGGACAACATGAAGCAGCATCTCGAGACTCACTACAAGGACAAGTCTCGCTCCTCCACCTCCGCGAAGGCTTCACGTCCCTCAATGGGCGGTCTATCAGCATCCGGACGCAGGTCCTCTTCATCATCCGTTAGGGCCGCTGCCGCCAGCAACCGTGCTTCCCGCGACCAGCCCATGTGGGAGGGCGAGTCTCCTTACGGATATCCTCCCGGCCAAGCTCCTCTCCCATCCCCCGCTGCTAGCGGCGCATGGGATCTTCGCGGCCTGCACATGCCGCTTGTAAGCCGCCCCAGCGCTGCAAGAACACCCAGCAGCGGCCTGGACGCGCTGGCTATGGCTGTCGCTTGCCAAGAAGGTGCATAGAGTTTTGTTGGGATCAGAACGATTGCATGTCTCTTCTATCTCTCCCTCTTGGGCAGTTTCAACACTTATACCCGGTGGACTCTTGCAGCGTGTCCTATACAATACCCCATCATTCTCTATTTCTTTCGGCCGCTCCTATGGCCAACGGTGTGGAGAACTTCGCACGGTGGCTCTCGATTGTGACGGGTGATTAACCCTTCGCATTGAGGAGTCTTTCCTCTCCCATGTTTCCTTCTTTCCTAGTTTTTAGTTGATTTTATGTTGTCATTCGGAGTGATAGAGGGTCGCAAAGCATACGAATGGCGTACCTGCACATACACGGAAGGGAAACAAGGCAACAAAAATGGCGCGGCGTTATATATCACGTTTTGTTTTTGAACCGCGGAGGTTTTCAACCCGGGGGGCGGATTTCTTCTCTACACGGCGTTGGTTTCTTCACGGTTTCGTACACATACCCGAATCCTCGATTCAATCAGTACCGAGGGGCAGACGCATCACTGCGATTGTTTGTTTTAAGATGAGGAAAAAGGCTATTCCTGGTTAGGAATGGGATACATATACACGAGGTTTCCCAGACAGGCTCTCTTTTTGGAAGAAAACTGGGATGATGAGGATGCTGGAAAGTTGGAGAGTGAGTTTTCATGGATGGGCGCGCGGATTCTAGATACCAGCTGCGCCCAAGACCGGGGGTGGACGATCTTTCTCATAGACCACTTACACACATGAGTGGATGGGAAGTTGGGAGTCTGTCCCAAGGTCGATATCACTCCCACTGCCTGTCGTCTTGGTTTATAGCCGGCGGCGAGGTCAAGCAAAAAAAAGAAGAAATATAAACACACGTTGAACAAGCATGCTCACTTCTGCCCTCTTCATTCGCTGTCTTTACGTGAGTAGAGTCACCAAAGTGGCTGGCTAACCCAACCATCACGATGTTCTTCGAAACATCACGAGAGAAGTTCCCAAGAAGGCATTCTTGTCTCACCATCGTGTCTCTGTGCCACGCAGCTGGTAAACGAGAAGGCAAAGACAAAAAAAAAATACATCAAAATTCCCACGATGCATTCCAACCCACCGCCTAGCTGTTTGAGCCCACACGGCATGGGCAAGACATACCAGAATCCGCGCGGCCCCCAAGCAAAATTCCCCCATTTTCCCACGCTGATGAGCCTTTGTGATCCCGATCAGACGGTTAAAGACAAATTCCAGAGGTTTGTTCAGTCCTGTCTTCCCGGGCGTGTCTCTCGTTCTCCATCCCAAGTCCGGCATAGGAGAGATGCCTATCTCAACGGAGTACAGGGATGCTTGTCTGGGAAGATGGGGGAGGGGGGTGGCGGTTGGGGAGAAATTCTCCAGCATTGCATGTATGTGTTTTGAACTTCGACGTTCCTAGGTGTTCGGGGGCTGTCATGCCACGCCGCATTGCCCATCCCGTCGGATCCCAAGCAAGCAGCAGCAGCAGCAACGATTTAAAGATCTCGATCTACTGTTTTTCTTTTCTTTCTTACCCTTCTGTCCTTGCTTCTCCTCGCGATTGTTTTTGGTCCTTTGAAACATGGACAAGAACCACCACAGCAACTAACTCTACTTGACCTCCTCGGCCCGAACATGGCATCCAATGCGTACGGATATGTCTCTATTTTCTGCCTCCTCTACCACCTCTTTACTTTTCCCCCTTCCGCTTTCTGTCTTCTACACACCCCGGAGACAAGGCCCCGTCTACCTCAAGCCTGCCTCTCCCGTTGGAATGGAACGAGGCGTGAATGGTAACCCGGATCGGTCCACCTGCTGTTGCCTGGGATATTGTGGACGCTGTCAAATAAAACGACGCAGGCCACTTACCCGCTCGCCGCTGGAATGTAAGTTGGAACATCCCACGCTCGTTGGTCGGTATACGCTAGATCGCTGCGCAAACGGTTTCCTTCCCACGAGGTCTGAGGGGGTGTGCGGTGAGGCTAGGGCGTATGAGCACATGGGCGTCTTTTGCTCTGGCTGATGGACTGTTCAAGTGGTCTTGAGGGCGGCTCAATTCGGTGGATGGTTTCGTCTTTCCATTAAGTCTATCTTGTAGCCCTTTGAGCCCCGCCTCCGGTGTTGGCACCTCTAATTATCCGTCTGTCTCAACCCAGAACTATTGCGCCAGCCCCATACGCCAGTGCCTTTCATCATCGGAGCAAACCTGTGCAACATCAACAGCTCATCGCGATCGTTGAGAAACCGACGGCTGCCCCTTGACACGAGCTGAAGACTACTGCTGTTTCCAGAGTTCCTCCTTCTCTGTGCAGAGTCTTGCCATCTCATACTGCTCGTCCGTTTGACAGACCAGTGTACGACACTTGGCTCTGTTCTTACCGACTTCCTGCACCGTATCGACAATCTTCCTGCTGTTGAGCTCGTCGTCGATGGTGAAGCCAAGGCAGGTACACTGTTCTACGACGCGTTTCCGTAGCTTATCGCTCTTCTCGCCGATGCCACCGGCAAAGACCAATGCATCCACATCGCCATGAAGGGCGACAAAGTAGGAGCCGATGAAGGCGCATATCCTGTCAACAAAAATTTCGAATGCGAGTCTGTGCGTAGGCTCGTCCGAAGAAGCAATGACACCGAAGTTGGTCGTTCCTGTCAGGGCCTTCCATCCGCTTTGTTTGTTGAGAATTTCTTCAGCCTCGGTAAGATGCAACTTTGATGTTGAATTAGGGGAGAGCTTTCCGACGTCACTCGCGTAGTGAAAGACGAGACTGTGCGCACACACAAGTTAGCTAGCTGCTAAACACGCGCAACGAACGTTGGCTACGATTTACCTCGGATCCACATTCCCGCTTCTCGTAGCCCCGGGCAAGCCGGCAACGGGCGTCAATCCCATGCTTGTATCCCAACTCTGGCCGTTTCGGATGGCGCAAGCGCTTGCACCACTCCCAAGATGAAGAGCGATGATGTTCAAGTCTTTGGTCTCCTTACCGAGGAACTCGGCGACGGACCGAGTGATAAAGGAGTAGCTGACGCCATGAAATCCGAACTTTCTGAGGTGGTTCTTTTTAGCTATTTCTTGGTTGATGGGGTACGTGCGGACGTGATCGGGGATGGTGGAGTGGAACTGTGTGTCAAAGCATGCAACGTTGACAGCGTCGGGCAGCTGCTCCACGCAAGAGTTTACGATATCAAGGGCCGGGCCGTTATGCAGCGGGGCAAGGTCGCTGAGCTCCTCTAGGTGATGATATGTGTCCTGGGTGATAACTTGGGAGCACGGATAGTCGCCTCCATGCACGATGCGGTGACATGTCAAGGCAATATCGGCCTTTTGCTTGATCTCGGGCAATTCTGCGTCATCAATCAGGGTCTTTAGAAGCACCCTGAAAGCATCATCTTGTGTAGACACCTTATCCTCCAGATCCTCGTTCTTGACTTCAACGCCGCCGCGGGTGTACGATACCTGAGCCGGTGGAGCCGTCAGACCACTGATAGATGTCTCTGCAATCTGGCGGGGTGACTGCTTTGGCTCGGCTGAGTACACCGAGATTTTGACAGAGCTTGAACCCGCGTTAATGGCAAGGATAACCTTCATCGTGGATAGGATCTGGATGTGCAGTGGTGGTCTGCAGTAAGAACGGAGAGTTCGTCTCGAATGCCTTTTAAAACCGAGAATCGGCAGCAGGATGTGGTCGATCGGCGTGTTATGCAACCCACAGTTGGGTCCGTTGGCTCGGTCGATGAAAAATGAATCGACCACCTGATGGTGGTGTCTCGTATTAGACAATTGAGAATCAATGTGTTGAATTTAGGACGCAGTTGGACGAGACAGGTCAAGATACGACGAGCTGAATTGGGCGAGATCGTAAGCTTTTAAGAAGGTCATCATCAGTAGACGTCGGCGGTGGAATGGTCAAGAGCCGAAGTGGGCGGTGTTGCCCTGGGCACCATGATCTGAGCTTCTTCTCGCTGCAAACGCCCGCCTTGGCCGGGTGTGGTGACGTTCCATGGTGCTATTGGACTTCTGGGGGCGGGGGTCTGCTGGGAGCTGGCAGCTACGGAACCCCGCGCCGTGCCTTGTCACCCCACCAGATAGCGCAGAAGTGGAGGCTCTGTGGGGCCTGTCAAACCTGTCAACGCCCGGACCCGGGAACCCAAAGCGGCGCCTTCTAGCCATGCAAATAACACACCACTTTTTGGAGTTGCCTGATGCAATACACCAAGCCCAGTTGCGAGCTCTTGCGTGGAACCATAACCCACCATCGCGCACTCCGTTGTGATGTCGATATTCCGCGAGCTGGGTGTCGATCAGGATTCGTTCCATCAGGATCCTGTGCAGCGTTACACCTCATAGGTATCTTCCCTTCTTGTGGATGACGGAAGTTGCAGAATAAGCCAGGTCAAACCCGAAGAGACGAGTCAGTCAATGGCAGCCCGACTCCTCTTATCCACTCGTTGTTCTGTGGCCTGAAACGGCTGCAGTTGAAGTTTGTCGTCGATCGAGGAGCCGTTCAAGCAGCCGAGTCAGACTCATAAGGATCTGGGGGCTCCACCACTGGCTCCAAGCCTCGAGAGATATCAGGGGACGGCAGTTCAGACATTTCTCCAGGAAGCATTTCCGGCGATGGCAGCTCAACATGGTGGGCAGGAAAAGGTATGCCGTGAAACTCGCTGTCGGAGCTGTGCGCTACGACCCAACTCTCCAAAAACCGAAGGTAATCTATTCCGTGTAAGTCAAATGTCCATATCCCTTCCCAAGGTGGGGTAGCAAGGGTGTGATAATTTCGCAACGAGGCGCTCAATGCCTGCTAAGAAGTGGTTCGCCATACCTTCACGTTTACTGAACTGTACGCCTATATAGCGAATATTCAGTGTGCCCGACGGTGCTCCGTCAGAAGTCGATGGGCCCCCTTGAGAACCGGAACGCACGCGGGGACGCATTCGTTGTGCCAGGTTGAAGCGTGAGCGGGAACTGCTGTTATCGGGAGCGCTGCTGCGTCGACTTCCGCGAACTGTCAAGCGGACCTGGCGGTGTCGATCGTCGCGGTTACGCAGTTCGCCCTCAAAATTGTGGATTTCGTATTCTCGATATTGCCGGCCACTCGCACGATTTGCAAGAACGGTCAGCGAGTGGTAAGTCGAGTATCGGTCCCTCCAGAGTTTGAGCCTCTGTACCAATCCCATGCCCCTAATATTACCAAAGCCGTCCGTTCTTCCGTGCTGATCGGACCAGACGACGTCAACATCGTAGTAATCAACCAAGTCTTTCCGACGAATATCTCCCTGGAAGCGTATAGAGCTTTCCACGGTGGTGAACTCGTACTTGACCTCGGTAAGGTGGTCATGAACCACCACACCTTCGCCGGTAGTGTATCTGACTCTATGTGGCTCGCGAAAGCTGACAAAAAGCTCGAGTTCGCAAGAATCTGTGTATGGACGATGACGGGCGTGCAAGGTATGAGGAAAGATGTCGGCGGGCACGTCGGACGGAACTAAACTATGGTCAGAATGATGGCCCCTGGCTCGGATGATTGATGCGGGGGATGAGGTACGGAAGTGTTCAAGAAGCTCGCTCTGGTAGCTGCACTGCCATAGTACGCGACGCTGCTCGGAGCCGACAACCTCCCAAGGGCCAAGATAAACCGTGCGCTCGTTGGGGGTATTCTCAAAGAGGGTTCTGAAGATCAACAAGAGTCAGAAAGGGGCAAAGACTACTTTCGAGATGTATGGTTACGGAGATTTGGAAAGAGGGGCTTCGAATCGAGTAGTAGAAAAATGGTACATAGTTGCTTGATAGCCTGGAGGTCCAAGATCCAGAGGATGAAGAGAGGCGTGCGGTGCTGAGGCCTCGGAGGTGAGGGCCGATATCGTCGAGGCGCCTGACGTTGGTGTCCAGGTCGAGTCAATGGGGCTTGCGTATGGCTGGCCGTAGGAAGGGGGCCGGCCAAGGGAGGAGGAGGTAAAAGACGAGCCGGAGGAAGACGAGGCGGCCATGCTTGAAAGGCCTTGGCCTAGTTCTTGTCTCGGAGCCTTGTCAACAAATCAATAAAAGGCTGCGGGGAGTTGAGATGGCAATCATGGCATGGTGTTGGAGATTGGAGTATATGGCCGATTCGTCTGGCGGTTCGAAATCGTGTGGTCGTCGGGAGGGTAAGCGCGCTTAGATCTCGGGACGGATGCATTCAAACGGCGGGAGGATGCGACGGCGAGAAGGTATACGGGTGCCAATTCCTCGCTCGAGGTAACGATGGTCCTGGAGCTTTGCACGGGGCGAAGGGACGACAGGCGCTGCACCTAGCATCAAACTAATGTTGGGAAAGGACGATAAGGCGGATGGCTGTGTCGCAGACGGAGAAGGAACGAGGGGCGCCGAGGCAAGTGACGGCCGGCAGGGTGCAAGCTTGATATTTCTGAGATAGTACGGATAGTGGCGCCTAAGAGGTCGGGTACCGTTAGAGAAATCTAATAGCCAAGCCGTCAGCAAAGCAGGTGCCAATACCAGTGCCGGGAACGGGGCCGGTGGAGGTTGTGACCTGGCACAAGACTAGCACGGCGCCGTGGTAAAGCGAGGCTTGATGTTGGAGAAGAGTTAACTACCTTGGGTAATTGAGTTGGTATGGTTGAAGCAGACAAAGACGCGGCTTCCGAAAGTCAAGCGAGGATGGGGGACGATTTGACGGACGGAGCGGGGTCGCAATATGTTGGTGGTGAAGGGCCGGGTGCGGAGTCAGATGGCAGACGAGGGGGGATCCCGTCTGTTGGCGGATGGACTTTGGTAGATGAAGGGCAGGCAAATAAGGGGGAAGGACGTTCGGAACAGTACCTTACCTTACTGCGACGGGATGCCCAGCATGCAGTAAGGTAGGAGGGAAATGGGTAGTGGTGGGCAATGGGAATACCACAGGGTCCCGGGTGCGGACGAGGATCCGAAGAATTGGTCGGGTACCGCCGTACCGGAGACTAAAATTGTCAACGGTCCGCCGGTAAACTGTCTCGCTTACCTCAACCAATTGTGTAGGCTTCAACCGTAATTCTCTCTTTCACCCATCTGCCCTACCTACCTAGTTTATGCACCCATGGCCGGGTACTCAGTCTCAGAGCAACATGAAGCATGCTCCAGTCTAGCATTTGCGATGCAGCGTACCCAAGGTAAATGAGTGCTACGTTGTACCACGGGAAGGAACCCTATCTTCGGTATCGGTACAGAGTACCTACAGTAGATACCTTCCCTACCAAAGGTAAGGTAGACAATGGGATTTACGGATGGGGATACCGCGAGATGGATCGAGTATTGAAGTACTGCGTAGGTGGGGTTGGACGTACCAAATCCAGTTCAAGGTGCCCGCCGCCGTCAGGTTGGGTCGGCCAATGACAGCGCCTGAAGCGACGGCATGCTCAAGCGACTGGTACTGGGAATTCCCGTCATGCTCTCAGCTCAGTGCCCACCTACTTGTACATGGCCCATGCCCCTACTGAACTATTCTGGTCCAGTCTAGCCTGTTCCTCCTGCCACCATGTCTGCTGCCAGTAGGCTGCGCACCTGCTCAACGCTCAACATGATGGCTCCATGTACGGGCGTAACGGATCGAGCTCTTGCAGTTCATAGTCACACTGTCAGAAGCCTGAGAACTTAGTGTCTGTCAGGCCAAGTTTGGGGATCACGATGTTCAGCGAGGCAATGCAAGTGGTGCGTGCTTAGATAGCTCGACATCTCCCTGCCCGTCTCACGTTAACCTAAGCCCAAGGTAGCTTTCTTTGACGCCGGAGCATGCATGTTCACTCACTATCGATGTTCAACTACCTCATCCCGAGGATATGGCCAGTCCTGGTCAGTTAGACATAGCACTGGGCTCGGTTGAGAGACGCAATATCGACTATTGACAGCCTCTAGACGAATACGGCCACATTGGTTGGTTGCTAATAGGTGGGGGTCATTGTCAATGGAAAGTTGCTTACCTTACCTTAATTGAACCAGGGGATTCTGTCAAGATTTGCCGCAACCTTTTTCTTGCCTCGCCGAAAACCAGAATCCAAGCCTGCGGTTTCCTACCTTACCTAGGTACCTACTCACTTAGTCTTTTCAGCGCTTGGCAGCCCTCGGTCAGCCTGCTCTGTGGTTAGCGTCCTGTCCTGTCCTGTCCTGTCAACCTTACCTTCTTACTCAACGTTCCTTGCCCGGCTTCACTCTTTCTTCGTTTGATCACCTTAGGACTGAGTTGCTCCCGAGTGTTCCTTCAGGCCCTCTTCCCATCGTTTCCGCACCATCATTTATGACTCCTACTCGACAAAATCATCTCTTTACACTCAATCAACCCAATGGCCTTTTGTCAACTACGTTTGCGATTAAGATACCCTTGCTTGTAGATGGGTCCCGCTCACTGCGACCCATACTTCCACCTCCCCAATCCGACTATCCGACCTCTCCTGCATCTAAGCATAACACGCGCTGCTGCGTGAGCCTGTCTCGCCTCATACTCTGGTAGCGCAGCACTTTTCAATTCAAGGGTTGACTGTGTATTATAGCTACTGCCCCGTATCACAAGTCTCACTTCGCTCAACGAAGCCGTGCCTCCCTATTCTCATCCACCGATCGTAGGTAGTGAATCACCTCGAGAAAGTCGAGCGGCAGCCATGTCGGCTTTGCCCGACCCTCTCGTGAGAAGAAACCGGGGCTACTTAGGCAGTGACAGCTCCGCCTTGTCCGCTCGCGATATTCAGGTACGTTCACTTACCGATTTCGTCCCGTCTCTGGTTTCCTGTTCCTACGCCACCACTCGCCTCGGTGCGCCTTTAGCTCTTACTTAGCCTCATCCCGCACCTTGACAGCTGCTTCGATCCTTCATCGCATCTTACATCGGACGTTAGCTCATCATTCTTCCAGGACCGCAGTCAGTTGCGTTATGAGCTCGATCTCAACTCGTGGAACCTGCGTATTTGGGGCGTAGCCGCATCGGGTTTTCTAACAGATTCGTGAGCTATCCTCTCAATGCTCTCACCTAGAATGTGATCATCCAACAGCAGTACATTGACTATATTGCGTAGCTACAACCTCTTTTCCACAAATGTTATTCTTGCCTCCATAGCATTTGTGTACTGGCCTTCACCCGGCGAAAGATGGCAAGGGCTGCTCATCAACTTCTTCACTCTTCTGGGATCCGTGATTGGTCAATTGCTCTTTGGCTTTCTGGCCGACTTCTATGGACGAACACGCCTTTATGGCATTGAGCTTGTACTTGTCATTGTGTCGACAATTGGTGTTGCCACTAGCAGCTATGGCTTCGATGACATGAGCTTCTTGGCTCTTTTCATCTGGGTGAGTTACTACCGCCGGTTTCACTTCTCTTCTCCACTCTCCGTTGAGGACCTTCTCAGCTGACATCTGGAACTCTTATAGTGGCGCTTCGTGATGGGTATCGGTGAGCAACCAAGTTCGGCCGTTCCGTTGATTCGGCTCGAACAACCACGACTAACTCAAGAACAAAAGGCATCGGTGCCGAGTATCCCCTTAGCGCAGTCATAACCTCAGAATGGTCGAGCACTCAGTCCAGGGGAACTATGATCTCTTCTGTCAGTCAGCGAGTAACTTCTAAGTCCTAGGACCTCACTACTAACCAAAAGTGTTAGACATTCATGATGCAGCCCATAGGCCAAGCTCTTGCCCAACTTGTCGGCCTCTGGGTTCTCGTCGGTCGTGACAAAAGCGAGGGCCTACAAGCCATGCAGTGTGGCCTCGACACGAAATATGATAGGGAATGTCGCCGCGCCGTCGATGGCATTTGGCGCATCGTCATCGGCTCTGGCGCCGTCCCCGCTCTTTTAGCCATCATTTTCCGGTTCTTTTTGTTCGACTGCGGATTATACAGTCTCGAGGTCAGGAACAAGCCCGGTATCGCCTTGAGAAACACGCAGAGTATACGGCGCTCCTGCTGGCGCGACAGCCGGCTACCCCATGACCCCTCAAGATGGGATGCAACCATCCAACTCACAACAGCCTATGCCCATCCAATTTTCTAAGCAGGATCTTTACAGGTACTTCATCGAAGACGGAAATTGGTACTACCTACTAGGTGAGCTCTTCGCCCAATTCTCTACGGGTTGGATTACGAGACATCGTCTCGGGTCTTGAGAGTTCACAGTTGTGGCCTCTTGTGTTTGACAGCACACATAGACTAACCATGACGCAGGCACCGCTGCAACATGGTTTTTCCTTGATGTAAGCTTCTATGGTCTCAGTCTTGACAATAGAGGGACTCTGTCAGACATGTGGGCGACCACGGGACCGACGCCCATCGACGACCGGCTACCGTGCTGGAACTCCAAGTTTCCTGACGGCAACGCAACCGCACGACTATGGAGCCAGACCGGCCTTCCGGTCTGGCAGACGGACGCAACTCTACCTTGCAACACCATCTATGATGTGCTTCTGGAACAGGCCAAGCAGTATTTGTTGACTGTGTCCATCGCCTCGATCGCCGGCAGTGCCTGTTTTGTCGTCGCTGCCAATAGGATCCCGAGAAGACTTTGGCTCACAGTTTCCTTTTTCGTTCTGGCTATACTATTTGTCATTACGGGTTGTGTATACTATGGCGTCAACAGAACCCCCGGAGCGCCGGCGACTGTCGTATTTGTGGCGCTATGCCACTTCATGTTCAACTTTGGTACGTGTCTTCTCGATTGCTCACATGCCGGCAGCAACTGACAGATGGTTTTTTGTTCCTCCAGGGGCAAACACCCTGACCTTCATCATCCCAGCGGAAATCTTCCCAACCTGTTACCGCTGCACCTGCCACGGCATCTCCGCTGCCGCCGGAAAGCTGGGCAGCATCGTGGCCCTCCTCGTCGTGTATGGCATCAACTCGTCCTACACCGCCGTCAATCGGCAGGGACTCATCTTTTTGCTCTTTGGCTCCTTTGTCGCCGTCGGCGCCGTCTTCTCTTGGGCCTATCTGCCCGACTCCCAGCGGTGGGTCATTGACGAGGACACCGGGCGGCGCGTGCTGGAGCAGAAAACGCTCGAGGAGCTGGGAGAGGGGCGTGAGAGGGCGAGGCAACTAGGCGAGGTGATTACTGTCAAGGAAAAGTGGCATGATCTGAAGAGGAGGAGGGTGTCGCCTTCGCCTTCGCAGGCAACGAATCCGTAAGAATAATGTTTTGAACAGTTGGGGATTAAGCCATCTTTCAGGATACCTAGGATGAATAGTCTGGTTCGAATAATTTGGCTTGAGGGCAGTGGAAATCTTGACCTGTTTTTTTTTTCGGCCAATCCACATACATAATCATTGTGATCTGTTTCACTACGCACCATCCTTCTCGTCCCCCAAGTAGTTATGTTCACGCTTATCACCCATCCAACAAGCAAAAACTTCCTCCCCAAACGGTCTTCAAATGCTCAGCTGTCCATCCGGATCAAGAGCCACCTGCAAAAACTCCACAGTCTCAGCATACACAGCTTTCCCGCTCGTCGTAGCCTGTACGTGCACGTTGCTCTCGAGCGCGTCAAGCCACTTCGCCCAGCGCAAACCCGGCGCGGGCGCAGGCCACCCGCACATCGGCTGCAGGACGCGCGAGAGACGGACGGCAAAGGGCGCAAAGTGTACGTCAACGAGGGACATTGTGTTGCCCAGAAAGAACGGTCCTTCCTCGTCGGCGGCGAGGACGAGGTCCTTGATCGCGTTTTGGAGGCGCTCAATGTACTGCGGTCGCAGGGTCGGATCAGGGCTGCGGAGGAGGCGGTAGAATGCTGGGGCGAGACGGGTGTTTATCTAAGGTTGGATACTCTGTGTTAGGACTATGATGGTGCTGATGCTTGCCTAGAAGACAAGGGAGGGAGTATGACTGACGTGACCTATCCATTGTCGACAATTTGCGCGGAGCTTTACGTCGGATGGGAAGAGTGGGATGGTACTGTCCATGTCTTCGAGCTGTATAGCCGGCAATGTTGCGAATGATTAACAAAGAGGGAGTTCCATGAGGAAGGGGCATGCGCATCTGCGGAGGAGTTTAGACTGACATATTCCAATATCACGCCGCTGTCGGCACAAGCCCAGTCGCCCTGCCGTATCGCAGGGACGGTTCCCCTGGGATTTGCTTCCAGCAGCGGTTGCGAGGCGGCCACCTTGTAGGGATCTTCTTCGCAGTACTGGTACGCTAGGCCCTTTGCTTCGAGTGCGATCCAGACGCTCTGAGAAAAGGGGCTGAAGGGAGGGAGGTAATTAGATTGATAGATGAGAGACAGATGGAGAGTTCTGCCAGAGAAAGGACGAACCAGTAACATGCGGAATACAGCTTCAGATCGCTCTCTTTCTCATGCTTCTTGATGGTCCAGTGAGCTCGGCCCGTTGCCTTTCTAGGCCCATCATTCTATTTCAGCGACATGGTATCAGTTTCTGGGGAGGCATCTTCACTATCAGCGTAATGTAAGTAACCCTCACCTTGGCTGCATCGGTCTTATGCTTGGCAAGATACCGCTGTATACTATTCTTCTTCACCTCGTCGCTCTTGGCTAGGGTATGCTGATGCGGTCCAGAGATGCCGCTGACGCTGATGTGGCCATTAACCCGCTGAATTGTCCAAAACTTCTGCCCGGGCGCGGGCAAGTTGTTCGGCGTGGCGGGCGCGACCCTCAGCTCCCTCTCCCCGGGCGGCGCGAGCACGGTGTGCGCCCCGTTGAGCGCCTGGCCGCCGTTCAGAGGCACGTAGGTGCCGTCGTCGACGTCGTGGAGGGTGGCGCCCGGGAAATACTCTGTGATCTTGATCTTGACGTCGCACAGGTTGAGCTTGCGCGAGATGCGGTTGCGGCGCTTCTTGGTCGGGTCGTCGGACTTTTTGGTGCCGGGAGGGCGGCCCTTGAGGCGGCAGTCCCAGTAGTGCGAGATGAAGGGCTTCTTCTTGTAGTTTTGGGTCGAGCGGTGGGAGTAGACATTGTCTACGTGTGGAAAGTAGGTTTCGAATCTTTTGACATGGTTAGACAATGGTACCTTGGGGTTGTTGGGCAATGCTGCTGCAGCTGCGGCTGGAGTAGGGGAATAACGGACTGCTCATGAGTGAGAATGATGAGGCCATCTGCGTCAAACAGCTTCTGCCGCCACTCATCGAGGTTCGGGGGGTCGAGGACCCATTTTGTGCTCAAAAGACTGCCGTGTGGCCTCCATCCGGGGGTAGTGGTACCGTCGATAGGGATGAATCCGGCGGGCCCGACGAGAGACTCGCCCGTCTCAATCGTAATGGCTTCTGGCATTGCAAGGCCCGGCGCCAAAATACCAAACTGGCCATGCTGAACTGGCGATGGCTCCATCACGGGGCCATGGATTAACCGGTGTGAAATATTGGACGGTGACGGGCCCGTTGGTCCAAAACCACTGCCACCGACACCAGGCACTGCTACAGCATGCTGCTGCTCAGTTTGCCCGTCTGCGGCAGAAGTTATATGTACATCCTGATCTCGTGAGAGCTCGGCATGAAATACCGATTGGTGGGCCTCCATCCCAGACATGTCGATGGAAGACCCGTTGTTAGTAGGGGGGCCGGAGCCGGGGCGGAAGTGGGTTACGGCACCGGCATCGGCACCGGTAGCAAAAGGCGGAGGTGGCGGTGGCGGCTGCTGTAGCTGCTGGGCAGCGGGGTGGAGACTATGCGGAGGGATGGTCTCGCCCCTGCTCGCTGGAGAGACTTCAAACGGCGAGGACGGACCTGCTGGCATTTGACGCACGCGGGTGGGTGTTCAAAAAGATGCGGCGTGTTGCTGCTTTAATGCGTCGTGCCTTCGTCGACGCCGCAGTGGTTGGGGAAAAGTGGATGACGAGTGTTGGTCGACGTTGGGTGCCCAGTGGTTTTACCTCAGCAACGTGCGGCCGGGGTGCGGCAAGGCGGCAACTGGTGCACGGGCCCGACGAGCTTTGGCCATCGCAACCACCATCACCAGCACCACGAACGCTACTTCATCAGGGGCTGCCATTTCATGTCTACGGGCACCGTCAACTGTGGTCAGGCAGTCCTCTTCTTGTTAAGTTCTTTTACTTACATGAGATGAGATGGCGTCAAATTTGTTCAAATTACCTTAGATGGCATCTGACGAAATATCAGTCAATCATACATCAGCCATTCTGTCCGTGGGAGTCGTGTGGTTTATTCATGAGTCCTGCAGTAATCTCAGATCAACGCTCTCAACCGTTTGCCTGCCTCTGCTAGTGCGGTCAGTGAGTCCCGTATTATACACATCCAAGACCGTCGATTTCCATTCGACATCATCTAGTATCAACTGCCGTATTTTGAAACATAAAAAATAATCCAAAATGGCTTCGTGGCCGTGAACTCCTTACTCCGTGACCTGATCAGTCAATTAACAACCGCTCAGTTTGTCGCATCCCACGATGAAAGATCCATTGCATCCATCGGCCCCATATTCATCAGTGATCGAAGTACACCCTCGGCGACAGGCGTCATGCCCGTCTGTCCCTGCAAGTCGCCCCAGCCATTCGGCATTCCAAAATCCGCTCCAGGTGTATCAGGCATAGAAAACCTTTGATTCGGCGTCAGCCCAGTGCGGATGCCAAAACCGCCCGCATCGTTGAAGTAGTTAGTATTTGCGTCTACGCTCCCTCGAGCGTTGTTGTTTGATTGTGTCGTAGCTGCGTTGGCATCGAAAGAGTTCCTCCCGGACCCATCGAGTCCGCCTGCCATAGTCACTCGCGGATCTGAAGCAGTCGAGTTCGGTGTTGGCCGGTTAGACTGGTCACCGTCTGGTGAACCGGACATGTTGTTGTCGCCACTGCTTTCGCTTTGTCCGAATCCAGTAACACGGCCACTGCTTGATCCCGATTTGTCGTACATGGACCCGGAGCTCGGTGTCAATGAGTTTCCATGCAATGGGAGGTTGTTGGTACTGTTTGAACCATACAATAGAGATGCCTCTGCGGACAACCAGCCGCCTGGACCACCGAGATTAGTCGTCGCAGAGGCAGAGATGGGAGCGCTTTCGTCATTCTGGCCAGGCTCAACGATGTTCGGCGCATTGGCGGCATTCCCATCATCATCCACAGTCTTCATGAAGTGACACTCGTTACGGTAGGACATGATACCCTGAACGCCTTCCGGATCGTCACACACAGCACCACTCTTGGCGGTGCCGTTGCCGCTGGCCGAGCCGGGCTGTCAAACGATTAGCACATGTAAAACCACCGAGAAGATTGTTCACTCACGCTTTCACCGCTGCGGGGAAATGCCGTCTTGAGTTTTGGTATTCTCATAGCAAGGGCTTCTAAGTCAACGTCCAACTGCACAAGGAACGATTCTGTGAGAGGGTTCCTTCTCTTTAGTGCGTTCATGGCTGAGAGAAGGAACCTTAATGAGTCGGCTGTTTGGCTATCGTCTGGACGACTCTTGAGATATTGAACAAATACCCTTGCTGCAACGTAAAGACAGAAGGATATAAAGGGGTTCATCTGGGACTTGTTAGTACCTCAGGTCTCACAAGACACTTGCTGGACATACCGCTGAGAGGTCCATGTGTGAGATCATTCTCATGATACTCGCGATCTCGTTTGCCGCTGTAATACAGCGCACCTTGCTTTCTGCACTGACTGAAGCCGGAAGTTTGTTCTTATCTGCCTTGAAGATGGCGGCCTGGTGCAGACAGATTGTCGATGTGTGGATGCTCATATTGGTGAAGACGATGTTAGGGTTGCCCAGACCAATGGGAAGCTTGAGGTGCGACGGCAAACAGAGAGAAGTGTTGAGAAGGATGTTGTCCATGTTGCGGTGCCGCTTCCAGAACTCGCCGTTGAGGTCGTGGTCTCGGTCATCGGGGTCAGGCCGGTGCAAGTGAATCAGGTTGCGGCCAAAGAGGCATGCCATCAGTACGATGCCTCCAAAAGAGGAGAGTTTGCCAGCCCCGGACGGGCTCATGCAGTCTTGCAGCGACTGCGTCTGCTCGGGTCGGCTCATGTCGAAAGACTCCTCGGTACAAGGCAGGTTTGTCATGATGTCCTTTTCATCCACCGTCATCGGCCACCCAGTGCCAATACTTGCGTAGCGATCTTCGCAAAATGCCATCCAAAAGGTACGTCGTCTCTCCTCACGCTCGGTCCAATCCCTCGGCGGTGGAAGACACTGCTTCACGTCCAATCCGGCACCATCGAGACGGTGCAGGCCAATCCTGAGCACAATTTAGCTATCGAGTCCTGATTGGTAGATATCATGAGCTCACATTTGACACAGGCGAATGGCAGAACCCGTGCTCATCCAAGCTCTCGGAAAGTACATCATCTTGAATTCGTATGAGGCAAGCAGCACATGGGTCTGAGCATGAGCCACAGATATCATGTGCTCGCCATAGCCTTTGATGTAATCTGCCTCGACATACTTACGAGCTCTTTGATAGAACAAGTCTTTGAGGTCGAGGTATTTTTCAGTGATTGAGCACGACAAGGTCCAGATGGCATATCGTAGTGCAACTGGCGGTCGTTGATTTGGAGCCCTACCGGTCACGTCAGTATGGGTTAAGCCGCTTTCAAACATGGCTAGCTGGATGGGGCCCGTACAAGTTCATGGCTGCTAGATATCTATACTTGTGGATCATAGGCACGGATGGATGAACCTTTTCAAAGAAGATTTGGTGGCTGCGAAGCAAGCGTCAGTGAGTACGGTGACCTTGAGGAGATATCGTGATGATACTGACAGCTCATCGATAGTTTCCTGTGGAGGAAGAGGTTCTTCAAGGCCCAGTCCAATCATTTCCCAAGTGAAGTTGCTCCCGGCGTTGCTCATGCCTATTGACATGCTCGAGTTGAAGTTGAAATCATCCATAGGAGGGGCAGCCGCATTCTGGGCCTGAGGAGACTCGCCGGTGAAGCGCCATCGGTCGACGTCGTGGTCGCCGCCGAGACCAAGAGTGGGATTAGGAATACTGTAACTAGTCGGAGCGGCAGTAGTTCGGCTACGATTCGCTGCAGCTGCGTCCAAGTTGTGAGGTATGTTGGAGGAGGGATTGGATGGCACGGGGGGAGGGTCTTGGGTCTTGAGCAGGGTTTCGACTTGTTCTATACAGGGTGTAAAGACGTTCAGTCAGTCAAGGCGATGGACAGCAACACACGGGGAAAAGAAGAAGACGTGGAACGAGGAAGGCAAAGGTCAAAAAAGAGCAAGGCGCAAAGACGGGAATGCTCACTCAGTCGTTCCTCTAGAGCCTTGACATATCCTCGCTTGGGGCCACTCTTCCTGCGAACCTCATCGTAGGCGCAAGAATGGCCAAGCCTGGCGCAAGTGCTGCAACTGGGCCGCACTCCGTCACACTTCAACTTGCGCTTTCGGCATATCATACATGCTAGGCGCTTCGGCTTGGGAACGTTGCTGTTATCGGCGGCCCCTTCTCGACCATTGGATTCGGCGTCTGGGCTGTGAGGGCGTTTGTGGGAGTTGGCGCCATTTGTATCTGGCGGCGTGGGTGTACTTGAGGACATGATGGAAGGCAAAGTCTCAGCGAATCCAACTACTAATTTAATATCCGCCGATCGTACGGTCGGGCAATCCGAAGGATGATTGTGGACGAAGCAGGGCGATTTCTCTTGTTATCGGAGGGCGAAACCGAACGTAAAGATGCCCTCAATCCATAGGCGCACGCGCGCACAATTACAACGGATACGGCTGCTGACTGTCGTGTTTCGTTCTAGTCGAGGCTCGTCGCACAAAGGGTGAAACGTCGTGAAGCGCTTCGAAATGGGATTAACGTCGAGAAAAAGTTTCTAGGTATTCGTACGGAGTTTGGTGTTGCAGAATATGTCAAGTCGAAAGGGGAAAAAGGCAGAGGTCGTCGGTGACTGGTAGTGTAGGCAAAGGTGAAAGAGCGAAGAGGGCGGGCGGAGAATGGGTTATCGGTCGTCGTTGGGGCGGTGGAGAGGAGAGTGGAGGGTACCTAGGTAGGCGTACGAAGTAGAGGAGACGGGGAGAAGGAAGCAGTGTCGGGTCTGTCAGGAGCGCGAGATTTGGGGTTGAGAAGCAAGGATGGATAGAAGCGGAGGATTAGGTGCAGTGGTGCAGCTGAGCGTGAGGTTAGGTGGTAGGTACCAGGCCAACTGCGTAGTATGGTACCTACTCAAGGGCACTTACTGAGGGGCTGGCTGGCCATTAGCATCTCTCATCAGTCCATACCTAGGTAGGACTCCTCAAGTTGCGACTAAGGTACCACCCAATTACTGTGTAGTGTGGGAGACTCGAGCGTCTGGCAGTCAGTCTGCGAGTACAGTAGCGATACGGCCTTGCCGCCATACCCCTTCCAGCCGAGCCCATGATTAATAAGGTACTCCGTATCCCGTACCTTCGATTAAGTCCAAGTACATTATGGACATGGGCCCCTAGCTTTCTGTACCTACCGCAAATGTCCACTCCATCTACTCCGTACCTACATACGCGGTTATGATATGCCCAGCACGATGGACAATCCGTGGACGGTGGACGCCACGAAAACCGTACTGCCTACCTAGGCGTTTGACATTTCGTGGGCACTTTATTCTAAATCACTTCGAGGCGTGAATAATGAAGTATTCGCGTCTAATTCTTAGGTGTGTATCCATACAGTAGCGAATGCCCACCACGACTAATCAGCTGGTGAGACACCGAGAAACCCTGCACATATGTATGCCTAGTGGGCAGTGCCGGAAAAGACCCTGCGTGCCTGCGTTGAAAGTGAAAAGCGAGAAACACGAG